TTGGTGATTGTGCTCGATCTTAGGATCGCGGTGTCGTTGACGACGTCGCCGGCGGCGTCGTCGTCGTCGTCGTCGACGCGTTGCTGGTGGGAACGCCGCCGGTGTTGCACGATCAGCTAATGTAACAAGATAGAGGGATAGAGGGATAGAGAGAGAGAGAGAGAGAGAGAGAGAGAGAGAGAGAGAATCGTTCGAATGGCGACAGGCCTCGAGCTCGACCGGCTTCGCTAGGTAGATTGTCGAGGACTTTTACTCGCGATCCGTCGAAACGAAAGCTCCGAGGCACTCCTCTTTTCTGCTGGTAGAGTCGCGAGCACGCGACGCTTTTCTCCTCCAGGGGATTCCAACCACTCGAGCCTCAGACGGATTATACTTTTTCAGACGCATCGAGCAAAGAGAGGAATCCAAGAGAGAGAGAGCGAGGGGTATGTGAAGAACCACGTTGAAGGTGTACGAGGAGCACGAGAAGTCGACGCGAGGAAAGAGAAAAAAAAGAACAAGAAGGTATATTAAAAGAAAACCTTACTCGACGAGCACAACTGGGAAAACAGGAAAACGCGTGGACAAAGTCACGTCAACATTCGAATCACTGTTCAGTTAAGAAAGAAGCATCGAGACGGTCGGAGGTAAAACGAGACTAGACAAAGGTACGGGGGGAAAGAAGTGAAATAAGTAAAAGAAGAAGAAGAAGAAGGATTACTATTGTAACAAAGAGGCGGGAAAAGGTATCGTGGAAAGGTGGAAAAATTAACCGAGGAAGGAAAACTATTCCACCGTCGAGCATGGCCTCGGTGGCAGCATGGCTGCCATTCGCCCGCGCGGCGGCGATCGGTTGGGTGCCGATCGCGACCCATCCACTGCCACCGCCTCCGATCCCGAAGGATCGTCGCAAGGCCGACGACGAGAAGCTGCTTATAAACGTGAGCGGCCGTCGGTTCGAGACCTGGCGGAACACCCTCGAGAAGTATCCGGACACTCTTCTCGGTTCGAACGAGCGAGAGTTCTTTTACGACGAGGAGAGCAAGGAGTACTTCTTCGACCGTGATCCAGACATCTTTCGTCATATATTGAACTATTATAGAACCGGTAAGCTTCATTACCCGAAGCACGAATGCCTGACTAGCTACGACGAGGAATTGGCGTTCTTCGGTATCCTGCCGGATGTGATCGGCGATTGTTGCTACGAGGATTACCGTGATCGTAAACGGGAGAACGCGGAACGTTTGATGGATGACAAATTGAGCGAGAACGGGGATCAGAATCTTCAACAGCTGCTCGATATCAGGCAGAAGATGTGGCGTGCGTTCCAGAATCCTCATATATCGACGGCTGCCCTGGTATTCTATTACGTAACCGGTTTCTTCATCGCCGTTAGCGTGCTGGCGAACGTGGTCGAGACCGTGCCGTGCGGTATTCGTCCGGGACGCGCCGGTACGCTTTCATGCGGCGAACGTTACAAGATCGTCTTCTTCTGTCTGGACACCGCGTGCGTCATGATATTCACCGCGGAGTATCTTTTGAGGCTGTTCGCGGCGCCGAGCCGGTGCAAGTTCGCGCGATCCGTTATGTCGATTATCGACGTGGTCGCTATACTCCCGTACTACATTGGTCTCGGTATAACCGACAACGACGACGTATCCGGTGCTTTCGTTACGTTGCGCGTCTTCCGTGTGTTCCGGATCTTCAAGTTCTCCAGGCACTCGCAGGGCCTCAGGATCCTTGGTTACACGCTAAAGTCCTGCGCCTCGGAGCTTGGCTTCTTGGTATTCTCATTGGCGATGGCGATCATCATATTCGCCACGGTGATGTTCTACGCGGAGAAGAACGTCGACGGGACGAACTTCACTTCGATCCCAGCCGCATTCTGGTACACCATCGTTACTATGACCACTTTGGGGTGAGTTTTTCTTCGTCTTTTTTCTGTGTTGTTGTTTGTTTGCGTAGTTTTTAAGTGGATCGTGTGTTTCCGCGGAGGCAATTTATTCGTACTTTAGTTGGATTTCTGCTAATTCAACCTTACGTGACTGCGGAAAATTCTTTACGGAGAAAGGTCTGCCTTAACGATTTTATAATATCGAGATCAAGCTTGGATATATGTATAATAGCTTGTTAGTATCTCTCGAGTTCTCCTTCTGCGAATTCCTCCGTAATTTTCATGCGATACGGTGTATTCTGTTTGCTGTGAATTTTATTTAACACTAGGGCAGTTAAGATTGTGGATCTTTGCGTGACTAGAGCAACCAGACTCGTGAAAATGACAGATTTCAGATTCTTTAATTTAAATTAGAAAAATTTGACACTAGAGCAGGGGTTCCCAAAGTGCGGCCCGCGATCTTCAATTTACAGAGATAATTTACATTTTTACAAAAAGATAAATAAATTTTGTCGTATTATAATTACAAATTGTTCAGTTAAAAAAATACTAAATTTTATGTGTAATATGCTTGCTATTATGCAGATTGTATATATTTCATTGTCCTAACGGCCAATGGCCGTAATTGTCTTAACGGCCCGCCAAAAATTTTCGAATTTACAATTTGGCCCACCTAGGCAAAACTTTGGGAACCCTTGCACTAGAGCAACGAAATTTGTAAAACTGGCAGATTTCAGATTTTTTAATTTTAAATTCAGATAACTTTTCTTTGTCATGTATTCCTAAAAATACCGGAAAATAGGCTGCATTCATCTTCGGTTTCTCTAGTCTTAACGCGTACGATAAAAAGTTGTAAAAGTTACTCGTCTATCGAGATAGCCCGCGTAACTCGTCCAACCCCGGCTCGGATACGTGTCGAATGGAACAGAAGTAGAAGTGCATCTGTGAAAGTAATTGGCTCCGTGCAAACCGCCCGAAGCTGGAACAAGCAGCAGTCTCCAGTGATATTTTTAAACAGAGGTCGTTGTCGACCTTTTTACCTCGAAGGGCCTCCGCTGCTTTCTCTAAATATCCGCGGCATAGCAGAAGCACCGACCCCGAAAGCTTGACAATTTCTTCTCCCGTTTTCCTTGCGTTTCTCGACCCTTTTCTTTTTCCTCCTTCTCTCCTTGCTCCTCGCGAATTAAAGCTACCGATCCTTCTTCGTATCTCAAACAACGCGACCACCGAGAGTCCTGTCCTGTTTGTTTTTAATTTCTCAAAAACGTTCTGGCTTCTTCGCCAAACGAATTTCGTAGTCTCTTCTTCTTCTTCTTCGCGTATTTCCACGAGAGAAGCGTCAAGTTTTCCCGGGGACATTCTATTCGGTTAATTAATCCCTTTGTCTTGAGATTTTCTTGGTAATCGTGTGTCTAACCCTTTTGTTATGAAGGGTTCTAGCCTTTTTTACGATCAAACTTTGTCAGTATGTTCTGTGGGTGTAGGAAGGAGAGGAATCGACAGAAATTGAGGAGACGAGGGTTGAAAATCTGAGGCGTGGCGGAGATTTTGGTAGAATGAGAGGAAAGTAGTAACATAGGAAGATAGTAGGAAATATAGGAAACTAATAGGAAAACAGTAGAGAGGGAGAAAATTTGCGAGTGCAAGAATAAAAGAGTAATAGATGCGAAGTTAGAGTGAAAAAGAACACTGGAGAACAGAGTAGACACAGAATCACAGTATATCTAACAATTATATGTGCAATTATATCAGCTTGAGCTGCACCGTTTTATCATCTATCGGATATACGTTAAATCACACAAAACCACCAGTTTTATTTTTCCGTCAGCGTTGAATAACAACCGGTACACATCCAACACTTCTTCTCTCAAGTATTCCATAGTAAACGGGTTAATCAATAAGAACTCGCCGGTGGAAGAAATAAAGTAGATTCGAAAGAAATTTCGAAGAAACTAGATGGAATCGAATAAGTAGGAAGTTTATAAAAAATTCATCCATCTTGTTCTCGATCCTAACCATTTCCACACCGAAAGTTTCCCGCTTTCTTAATCTTGCACCGTACCTTGGAACGATCCTTGCTCGAGGAGAGTTGGCTGAACTTTGCACTCGTCGGTCTCTCTTTGGCGAACAGATCCATATACATGTGCAGTCTGTGCAGAAATATTGATGCTCCCTATAGAATTGGGCGAATTTTCCTTGTCCCTTGGCGAGGCCAGGTATAGGAAATAATAGCGACGGGGCAGGCGATGGAAAAATTCACTCGGGCCAGCTTCCGGCCGCGAAAAGAGACCACGCGCACACCACTCTTTAGAGATTCTCTCTCTCTATTTCTGCCTGTGAAACGAAATCTATGTCAATGGTATTTTCGTTTCGTTTTCACGTAGACAGCTGACAGTCAGGCTGATCTTGGTCCCGCTGCCGGTGGTCTGGATTAGCTGGATAGTAATAGCGATTTTATATCGCGCACTAAACGGTACATTGTCAGATTCGTGGCTTTTGCTGTAGGGTGTTTAATACGCGAATTAGGGCGAAATTGGCAGAAATTTAGGTAACGAAAATTGGAGCTAAAGTGTTGAGAAGTGTAGGAATGGGACAGTGATTAGTTATAGTTTGGAAACTGCATAGAAGAGTGAGAGATAAATACAGAAAGAAGATTTTTCAGTTATTTGCGATAATGTAATAAAAACTAGTTATTAACCCCTCTAAGGACACTGATGCACATGTGTGCGATTAGTTTCCCGAAGATTCCAATATTTGCGACAGAGAAAATATGAAAAACATAATCTCTGAATAAGGAAAGCAATTTAATTGTTATCAATTTCAGATTAGATCATTTTTTTCTAACTTTAAAAAATGGTCCCTGAAGAGGTTGAAGTGGACAGTATTACGACGATGATACAAATTTTGAAAATAGGCTGTCTTCATAGTGATCCCAAGATCTCTTTAAGTAATTGCTATCGATTTAACCTGAATGTAAATCTAACTGTATAAAAAATTAGATTATTTTATTGTAACTTCAGAAAAGTCGCCTCTGAAGAGGTTAAAGTGGACAATATTACGACGATGATACAAATTTTGAAAATAGGCTGTTTTCATAGTGATCTCAAGATCGCTTTCAATTTTTTCAAGGAAGCAATATTTATTATTGTATCGTAGGAAATATTGAGAAAAATTAAAAACAGCACACCGCATGGTACTTTTCACTATGAGGCACCGTTCACTGCGATCTTTCCAAGATTTTCATCATCGTTACAGATCGTTAACAACCATTTTTTCTCTCTCTCATCTGCCTATGTTCCCCGTTCAAATTTATTCCTATCTTTTACGAGGCTAAGTTTTAAAAACAGCCCTGATTTAATCTTCACGCGTCTATCTCCCTATCTACAGTTCCCCGTCTGTTATATTATAATAGAAATAAAAATAGAAAGTCGTAAAAGTTAACAATAGAATCGTTGGAATTAATAATAGAAGCCGGGGGTGAGAAAAAGAAGAAGGAAGAAGAGGAATATGAAAGAGAGAAGGTCGAGAACGAAATAAAACCTTCAAACCACATTGCCTCGTTCCATTACAATCCATCGTATAACCTGTGATCCGGAATTTAGTAGGTGTAAAAAGGCTCTTTCACAACTCTGTTTCCCTTCTCCGTGAAAACTATGTAACCTCCACTTCGAGCCATCTCGTCGAGAGTCTGGTTGTTTAAAAAAAAAAAGGGAAAAGTTACAACGCAAAACTGCGTTTTTTTTTTCTCTCTCTCGATGAGAACGATCACGCTGACAGCACATGTAGTCTGGCGGCGGGGAGGTTTTGTACGAGTTTTCAAGGTTTCGAAACTCTCGACAGGCTAGGAATAGTAGTTAACCAACAGGCTTTGGGTATAGGGTAGCGATGGTTCTTCCGGTGTCGCTTTATAATTCAACCGGAATCGTTTTGCCGACGGGATTTTCAAGTATAAGGTTGACAATGGTCGGTTGATTAAGCAACTTTTTCCATGAATGGACGAATGGATCGGGGAATGTATAAGGTTCATTAAAGGATAATGACAGTCCATTATTGCGCTACTCGGGGACGCTCGGCGTCCGGATAAATGCGTTTTGCCGATGGAATTATAATAGGCGGCGTTTCCCACGTTTTCGTCGTTAATTATTGCGATTTAGATTGCTTCCTCTCTCTCTCTCTCTCTCTCTCTCGTATTTGTATTTTCACGCGGGCGCGTCGGTGCGTTGCCTTTGATAATTTTAATCGCGCCCCGTTAAATTGTTTCGCCCGTCCAAATATAACACCTCCGCTGACGCGAATTTATCAGAACTCAGGTGTTAGCCGGTGGTACGATAGTTGTTCTCGGTTAAACCGCGGCATTTCCAGCAGTTTTGCCTTTTACAGTGTCGCGAGGGTGAGGAGAGCCATCCTCGTCTCTCTTTCTCTCTTTCGATATTTACACGAAGAGTTGGGAATCGCAATAGCGACACTTTAGCGATCGTGTCAATTTTTCTTCCGGGGATTTATTCCCCCCCGTCGTTTGTTGAACGGACAAAAAATAATATCGAATTGACCCAGGGGGGATGGAATCGATTGGGGTGCGCAGCTTTGAAATATTTAATATGAATTTTAGATTCGATTTAAATGGACGTTGAATATTGAATACACCGCGTGGCTATACAGACGTCGTTGCTTCCGTTTCCAAGTGTATCTACACACACACACACACACACACGTAAACACACGTATGGATGGTGGTGGTGGTTGTACGAAAACGGTTTTGCGAAATGCCTCGCCTTCGAAAGCTGCGTCGTCGTTTGTTACACTCCGTTTATCCTTTCGACGTATTTTTCGATAAAAATGCGAAGAGGGGCGAGCGTGTGAATGTATGTATGTATATAAAGAGAGAGAGAGAAAGAGAGTGGCTGGTGAAAATTACAGGGTATCGCGAGGAAGGAAAAAAATACAATGGTCCTGTTGTTCCTGTAAATATTTCTCGGTTTAAATAAACCAGCTGGTTCTGTTTGGAACGAGGACGTCGCCGGATA